ACTGCCAGCCTTCTGGTTAGCAGTCAAATGCCTTAGGCACTACACCACCAGAACTCCCATTATTAACAATAAAGTGTGGTTCATTATAATTCAAATACATCATAAGTCAGGGACTACCTCTACACATATTTATGTGTGCTGCATATATCTCACTCGCTCTCACTGCTATCAAGTTGGTTCTGACTCATAGTGACCCTTCCTTGGGTTTCCGAGGCGGTATTGCTATGGAAGTAGATTGCCTGGTTTTCCTTCTGAGGAGTGGCTGGTGGATTTGAACCACCAACCTCTGGTTAGCAGTCAAAATTCCTTAGGCACTATGCCAGCAGAGCTCCTGCTGCATATATATTCATATATAAAATAAAACACATAGAGGGCACAGATATTTCCTAGACATAACCAAACACATCATGGGATTAGATTATTGAGTTTGAGGGCTTAGGACCGTAGTCTTGTGGGGCAACTTGTTCAATTGGCATAATATAGTTCATAAAGATAATGTTCTACATCCTAGTTTGGTCAGTAGCATCTAGGAAACCTTAGAAGTGGCCATCTAAGATACAACTATGGGTCTTCAATCTTCTGGAGCAAAAGAGAAAGAAGGAAATCAAAGACTCAAAGAAGAAACAGGTGTATGGGACTAATAGTTGGTTACCACTACTGACCGTTCCAATAAGGGACACAATAGTTGGTCTTGCATAGAATGAGAGAAAAATGTAGGAAAAAACTCAAGTTCCTAAAAAAATCCAGACTTACTGCACTGGTAGCATCTAGAGGAATCCTCAAGAATATTGCCATGGGATACCCTTTAAACTTGGAACTCAAACCACTCCTAGAGGTCACCTTTCAGCCAAATGACAAAGTAGCTAATAAAATAAATAATGTCACCTGTGAGTACTATGCTCCTCTAAGGAAAATGCTTTCAAACATGATGGAAATAGACATTTACATATATAATTGAAAATGAGACGTACCCACCAAACCTTGGTCTTTGATATCCTAATGATGTATGCTATTTACTTATTAATGCAGGCTCTTTAATAGCCACTTTCTTATTATGCTAAAATCATAGAATTTTGAAGTTAGAAGTGACCTTAAATAATATTTCTCCCTTATTTTCAAGATGAAGAAACAGCTGTCAGGAAAAGTTAAAGTAATTTGCTGACTCTAGCCAACACTCATTTCATTAGATTAACCTAAAAAGTTTATTATTTAAATTATTTCCTGATTTGGATACCACCATTGCCACCAATTGCTGTCGAGTTGACTCCAACTCATGGAGGCCCCCATGGGTATCAGAGCAGAACTGTGCTCCATTAGGCTTTCAATGGCTGATTTTCTGAAAGTGGGTCATCAGGATTTTCCTCCAAAGTGCTTTTGGGTGCACTGTGGAGTCCTCCAAACATTCACTTAACAGCTGAGTGAGTTAACCATTTGCACTACCCAAAAAACAACAACAAAAGAAAAAACCTCACTGCCATCTAGTGGATTCCGACTCAAACCTTTGGATTTCCAAGGTGGTAAATCTTTACTGAAGTAGATTGCTCAGTCTTCCTTTCATGGAGTGGCTGGTGGATTTGAACCACTAACCTTCTGGTTAGCAGTCAAATGCCTTAGACACAGAGCTCCTTTTGCACTACCCTGGGGCTCCTAATTTTGACAGGTGTCCTCTTAATTAGTTTGAATTAATCGACCTTTCTCTAAGAATGTCACTGTTAATAATGAGATGAGGCAAGAAACAAAGCATACAACATACCACACCAGTGTTTAGAAGCAAAGTTCCTGTTCAGATCTGTTCCGATGCAACTATTGCCCTCATGAAAAGATCGGTTCTTTCTCCACATTCGATTCTGAATAAACAGAACACAAACAGATGACCACATGGTAATATTTGAGATTCACAGACACTCGGTAGATGCCTTTTAAAAGACCACGCAGCCTGGTCGAGTTTCTTTTCTTCAACCCTGTCCCTTCCCTCACGTCATTCTGTCACTTTCTTCTCAGCATTCCTTTCTCACAGCCTCTTTCTTTATCTAGATCTCAATCCTGTTCACTAAAACTATCTTAGCTTTGACAATGTTGAGCTTCATCTGAGCCTTTTGTTGTTATGTGCCATTAAGTCGAACCCGAGTCATAGTGACCCCTCCTTAGGCTTCCGAGGCAGTATCACTACGGAAGTAGATTGCCCAATCTTCCTTCTGAGGAGTGGCTGGTGGGTTTGAACCACCAGCGTTCTGGTTAGCAGTCAAATGTCTTCGGCACTATGCTATCTGAGCCTTGTGAAGCTGAAAAAGAGCAGTGGTTAAAGAAATGTGTCCCCTTTTTTATGTTCCAAAGAGTTCTGGTGGTGCAGTAGTTAAGCACTAGGCTGCAAACTAGAGTCAGCTAACTGCTCTGTGGGGAGCTCTGGTAGCTAGTGCCTAAGGCACTTGACTGCTAACCAGAAGGCTGGCGGTTCAAACCCACCAGCCACTCCTCCGAAGGAAGGTAAGGCAATCCACTTCCGTAGTGATATCGCCTCAGAAACCCTGTGAGTCGGGTCAACTCGAGGGCACATAACAACAACAACTGCTCTGTGGGAAAAAGATGTGGCAGTGGGTTCCTGTAAAGATTATAGCCTTGGAAGCCCTGTGGGGCAGTGTTCTACTCTGTTCTATAGGGTTAGGATTTACAACATATGTTTTTTGAGGACATAATTCAATTTGTAACAAGCAGCTTAGTCGAATCAAAGCAAATCGTTATTTGTGTAGGTCATATTGATCTAATATTTCAACTTTATTAGGTCCAAGCAGTAACAGAATTTTACCAGACAATGTTAAACAGGCAAGAAGAGACTTCATTTAGGGCTATCACAATAAGGGAATAGATCAGACCTAAGTCTGATCTCCAACTCCACTGAAACAGATGGTGGGATGGTTTTTAAAGACCTAAGTGAGCTAGAGGAAAAGTACTGAAAGACATTAGGGGGAGGTTAGGCAATGAGCAGTGTTGACTACATGGAGTTCCTTCCTATGTTTATGGTTGAGGATAGAGAGATGGAATACATTCTAGACAAATTCTGTAGGGCCAGCTTGAGAGAGAGGTCAGGGGCTGAGAATCAGGAAGAAGCCTACCTAATGTTTAATCAAGTTGATGGGAATATTAAGGCTAAGTCTGCCATTTTCTTGAACACAGACTGAAAAAACCCCCAAACTTGTTGTCTTGAGTCAATTTCAACTTACAGCAACTGTATAGAACAGAAAAGAACTGCCCCACAAGGTTTCCAAGGCTATAATCTTTACTGGAGCCCACTGTGGTTCAAACCCACCAGCCACTCTGCAGGAGAAAGATATGGCATTCTGCTTCCATAAAGATGTTGTGTTGTTGTTGTCATTAGGAGCCATTGGGTTGGTTTTGACTCATGGTGACCCTTCGTACAACAGAAGGAAACACTTCCAGGTCCTGCACCATTGTCACAATCGTTGATATGCTTGAGCCCATTATTGTAGTCACTGTGTCAATTCATCTTGTTGAGGGTCTTCCCCTTTTTTGATGACTCTCTGCTTAAGAAGCATGATATCTTCTGTAAAGATTTACAGCCTTAGCTACCTTATGGGGCAGTTCTACTCCATCCTATAGGGTTGCTATGAGTCAAAATAGACTGGACAGCAATATGTTTTTCATGAGTGTACCTATAGTAATTATCCCAATGAGTTTTCTTAGTTATATTAATGAGGAAGTATGTGTAGGGTCAATCTCCTTAGAGATATAAAAGGACCAGATTAAGACACAAGAGGCAAGCAAGCAGATGTGGGGAGATGTCAGATCACATGAAGATCACCGGGAAGCCAAGGAACAGAAGCTGAAGAGACAAGGACCTTCTCCTAGACCAAACAAAGAGAAAAATCCTTCCCCTAGAGTCAGAACCCTAATTTCAAACTTCTAGCCTCCTAAAGTGAGAGAAAAAATTTCTGTTTCTTAAAGCCACCCTTAGATAACTAAGACACTGCTCATTGACCTTATTTAGTCTTATTTCCTTTAAGTTAATTTTGTGCACAGTATCATTTTGAGCTCCTTCTAAGAAAAATAAAGCAATTTAAATTATGTCTCAACTCCAAGTAAAACTATGAGTCTTGAGCTGTAATGCTTGCTTTGGATTGAATTCCACACACTCATTTAAAAGCTACAGGAGGTGGAGTATAAAGACACCTGTATGCAGATTGCTCCTTTATCGACTCTGGTTTTTAAACATAAAGCACAACCCCCATTTTTGTTCTTGGGGTAAACTGGGATGTCTAATAATATAAATGTTTGCACACATTTTGTTTTAATTGTGAGCTTGGGATGATGTGACAATCCTACATCATGTGCAGTTCAGTAGAAATAATTGCCCTGGGAAAAGCAGGTTCTCAAATTGCAGGGATCAGTTGGCAGTTGTTGTTGTTGTTGTTGTTATGTGCCATCGAGTCAGACCCGACTCATAGTGACCCCTCCTTGGGTTTCCAAGGCAGTATCACTATGGAAGTAGATTGCCCAACCTTTCTTCCGAGGAGTGGCTGGTGGGTTTGAACCGCCAGCCTTCTGGATAGCAGCCAAGTGCCTTAGGCATGATGCTACCAGAGCTCCCTCAGTTGGCAGAGTCCCATGCAAAGCACAGTTGGTGATTAGGAACATTAAAGGCTGCCTGAAATCCACTGATTCAGGTCAAATCATGTTGTTATTGTTATTAGTTGCCATTGAGTTGCTTCCGACTCATGGTGACCATATGCACAGCAGAACGAAACATAGCCAGGTCCTGTGCCAGCTCCATAATCCTTGCTATACCTGAGCCCATTGCCGCAGTCACTGTGTCAAACCATCTTGTTGAGGGCCTTCCCCTCCTTCGTTGACTGTCCACCTTACCAAGCATGACATCCTTCTCCAGGGAATGGTCCCTTCTGACAATATGACCAAAGTAGGTGAGATGGAGTCTGGCCATTCTCACCTATAAGGAGAATTCCAGCTGCACTTTCACCAGGAAAGATTTGATAGATCTTTTAGCAGTCCATGGCAGTCTCAGCATTCTTCACCAGAACCACAATTCAAAAGCATCAACTCTTCTTTGGTCTTCCTTATTTATTGTCCAGCTCTCACATGCATATGAGGCAACTGAAAATACCATGGTTTGTTTCAGGTACACCTTAGTCCTCAAGGAGATATCTTTGTTCTTCAGCATTTGAAAGAGGTCTTTTGCAGCGGATTTGCCCAGAGCTCTGGTGGTGTAGTGCTTAAGGCATTTGACTACTAATCAGAAGTCTGGCGGTTTAAACCCACCAGCCACTCCTTGGAAGGAAGGTTGGGCAATCTACTTCCGTAGTGATACCACCTTGGAAACCCAAGGAGTGGTCGCTATGAGTCAGATATGACTCAATGGCAGTGTTTGGTTTGATACGTCATCTGATGTCCTGACAGCTGATTCCATTGGCAATGATTGTAGAACCAAGCAAGGTAAAGTCTTTAACAACTTCAATCTTTTCTTCACTTATCATGATGCTGCTTATAGGTGCAGTTGTGAGGATTTTTGTTTCTTTATATTGAGATGTAATCCATACTGCACACAGTATTTTTTAATATTCATCAGTAAGTGCTTTAAGTCATCCTCACTTTCAGCAAGCAAAGTTGTGCCGTCAGCATATTGCAGGTTGTTAATGATTCTTCCTCCATTCCTGATGCCATGTTCTTCTTCACATAGTCCATCTTCTTGGATTATTTGCTCAGCATACAGATTGAGTAAGTATGGGGAAAGGATACAACCCTGATGCACTCTCCCTTCTTGATTTTAAACCATGCAGTGTTCCTTTGTTCCATTCGAGTGACAGCTTTTTGGTCTATGTACAGGTTCCTCATGAGTACAATTAAGTGTTTGGGAATTCCCATTCTTCTCAATGTTACCCATAATTTTTTATGGTCCACACAATCAAATGCCTTTGCATAGTCAATAAAACACAAGTAAACATCTTTCTGGTATTCTTTGCTTTGCGCCAAGATCCATTGACATCAGCTATGATATCCCTCATTTCATGTCCTCTTCTGCATCCAGCTTGCATTTCTGGCAGTTCTCTGTCAACATATTGCTGCAATCATTTTTGAATTATCTTCAGTAAGATTTTACTTGCATGCAATATTAATGATATTGTTTAATAATTCCCACATTCTGTGGGATCACCTTTCTTTGGAATAGGTACAAATGGGGATCTCTTCCAGTAGTTGGCCAGGTAGCTGTCTTTCAAATCACTTGGCATAACCAAGTGAGTGCCTCCAGTGGGGCATCCGTTTGTTGAAACATCTCAGTGGGTATTCTGTCAATTCCTGGTGCCTTGTTCTTCGCCAAATCCTTCAATGCAGCTTTAACTTCTTCTTTCAATACCATTGGTTCTTGATCATATGCTACCTCCTGAAATGGATGAAGATCAACCAGGTCTTTTTGGTACAATGACTTTGTGTATTCTTTCCATCTTCTTTTGATGCTTCTTGCATCATTCAATATTTTGCGCATAAGAATCTTTCAGTATTGCAATGTGAGGATTAAAGTTTTTCCTCAGTTCTTTCAACTTGAGAAATGCTGAGTGTGTTCTTCCCTTTTGTTTTTCTAACTCCAGGTCTTTGCACATTTCATTATAGTAATTGCTTTTGTCTGCTCTAGCTGCTCTTTGAAATCTTCTGTTCAGCTCTTTTATCTAGTCAGTTCATCCATTTGCTTTAGCTACTCTTCACTCAAGGAGCAACTTTCAGAGTCTCTTCTGACATCCATTTTGGTCTTTTCTTTCTTGTCTTTTTAATGACTTATTGCTTTCTTCATGGATGATGTTCTTGATGTCATCCAACAATTCTT